CAATAGTCTTAAGTTTTGTCTAGCAGAGACAGCCTTTGGAGCCTGTAAGGATTATGGGATTGATGCCTATGGCCTGAGAACTGAGAGTCACCTGCAGCAACATTGATATTAATCACCATCTTTGCAGCCCTTAATCAAGGTGAGTTTACAAAGCACGTTGAGTGCTGTTTGCACACTCAGACCAGCCTTGCAATCTCTGATCTTTCTCTTACAGTACTAAGCCATAGTGATATTTTTATCAAGTTAACATTTTACTGTTAAAAAAGACGAAATATGATAAAGTAGAAAACCAAGTATTTATGTCAAACAGTGAAAATTTGTTCTTTGTAAATGAAATGTTCCTTGAAAACGGCATGAGCCCATTACTTCTGTGTGGGCAGGGAGGAGGCAGAGTGTACCCAATGTGGTTCCAGTGTAAACTTTAGGAATTCAGTGTTGCATAGCAGATATGGAAGCTATGGAAGCTACATGAATTTGAGCTCCTATGGCCATGTATTTGTATTAGCCAGACTTGGCAAGAGCATTTCAGGCACTCCTCTATAAAATCCAAAGGCTTATTTTTAAAAGGCTGTGAGGACAATTAAAGTGAACATGATAAAAATGACTGGGTACCTATTTCAGACACTAATATGCATATAAAGATATTGAAGAAGACAAAATGGTTTGCTCAAAGGCTAAGTAAGTATGGTGTTTTCAGTCTTATAAGGACTAAAGTGAGTGTTTGAAAAGTAAATGCAGAGACAAACTGGTTACACATGCTGAGCTGAACTGGGAAGGTGTTTTTATTGCTGATAGTGCAAAAATACCCACTGCAGCATGTTTAATCCAGCCTCAAAGAAATGAAAACTATTTGCAAAGTACAGTCTGAGTCTGTAGTTGCATTTCCAGTTGATTAATGACAGTTGTACATGATGAGCAGCAAATAATCTGCTAGGTGTTGAAAGAGCCTCTTTTTAAGCAAAAGTGGTGAATAAGGAGGTTGCTGCACATATGAATCAGCAAAAATCAAAATGCTTTTGTATTATTAAAATGATGCTTTGTGGTAGTCAGATCTAAACTTAACCATGAGGAATAGCAGAAGATCTTATCTAGTGTGAGTAATTGGATAATAAAATGGCAAGTGAACCTGGGCATCTGCTGGTGCAAACTAATACACAGTGGGAAAATTAGTTCAAAATGCACCTATTCAAGTATAGGGGCATATATATATGTATACCAGGAGGTACTGTTCTAATTTCTAGCAATGCTTGTGAAAGAATCTTGGAGCAACTATGAAAAAGTCAACTTATTACTTTAAAGTGACTGAAAAAATGAAAAAAAGTAAATAGGAATTACTGGAAAATTATGGAGAATGCAATAGGAAGCATTGCTCTGTGTTTCTATAAACTGTGCAGGTACTTGGACTGCTCTTGTGAAAAAGACACAGAAGATTGTGATGTGAATAATAACAGCTCCTGCAAGGCACAGATTCAACAAATTAGGCCTTTCGGCATAGAAAAAATAGATGGAGAGAGGAGATGACAGAAGTTTATGAATTCATGAAGGATATGAACAAGGAAAGATAATTAGCTATTAATCCCAATGCTGAGGAGTCAGGAATGTACCATGAAATTATCAAAGACCAGGTTTTCAGTAAATGAAACTTTTTTTTTTCACCACACATATTAAGCTACTGAGTTAATTACTCTGGGATCATGTGGACATCCCTCTCTCTCTCTCTCTCTCTATCTCTCTCTCTCTCGATCTCGATATAAGTATTAAATATTTATATAATCCATATACAGGTGGCATCAAAACATGCTTAGGCAAAACAGAGAGTGGAACAAGGGCTATCAAAAGTAGAGATCCAGACAGAGCCTCTGAGGGTGCCTGGGGGCTGTTAAATGAAGAAATGCAGACACAGTCTTTGGAAAGCTGTAAGGCATTACTGGAAGATGATGGCAACACTCAATTCTGTTATCTTGAAATAAGGTAAAACCTGTTTCTGAGTTGACAAGTTACAACAGTATTTATTTTCCTATTTTTATGAAGCTTTTATTTCCGCATTACTTTACGATTCACAAGAATCAATGTTTTGTACATACATGCTTTGTATTCCTCACCTTCAATGCTACCCCTTCCTTACACATGAACATTTACAGATTCCAGAGCTGTTAAAACTTGTCTCTTGCACCTCCTGCCAATAAGACAGGTGTTAAGCAAAGTGTAGGCAACAAGCCTTCACCCCTGGATTTGTGCTCTGTCAAAATTCCTTGCTAGGATTTCCCTCTCCTTCCCAAACATAGCATTACATACTTCCTTACACATATACTCAAGTAAACAAAAATCAAGACTAAAAATGGCACTCAGCTGTAGCACAGATTTTGTTTTGTTATAAATGAAAAATGCTGTGGCATTACTGAGCAACATGAGCTGTGGATTTCTCCCAAGCATTTACATTTACCACTATCAGACTTGGGTATTATTTTATAAAACAATTCTTCATGACCTTTATTTTTAGATTATATAAAGATTGTATATTTCAGTAAAGCTTTCAATAGTCTTACAGTTCTACTGGACAAAACGTCCAGCCCACAGCCATGATGAGTGAGCAACTGGCTCATGGGTTGGGCACAAAGGGTTATAGTGAATGGGGTAACATTGGGCTGGGGATCTGTCAGTAGTGGGATTCCACAAAGGGGTTCTTTCTTAGGCCCTGTGCTCTTCAACATCTTCATAAATGGTTTGCATACAGGACTTGAAGGAACACTGAGTAAGTCTGCTGATGACACAAAACTGGGAGGAGCTGCTGACTCCCTTGAAGGCAGGGAGGCCCTGCAGAGAGATCTCGACAAATTAGAGGGCTGGGCCATCACCAAGCATATGAAGTTCAGTGAGGGAAAATGCTGGATTCTGCACCTGGGATGGGGCAACCTGGATGCACAGACAGATTGGGGAATGAGATGCTGGAAAGCAGTGCCACAGAAAGGGTCCTGGTTGATGGTAAGTTGAACATGAGTCAGCAGTGCCCTGGCAGCCAGGAGGGCCAACCATGTCCTGGGGGGCATCAGGCAAAGCATCCCCAGCCGGTCAAGAGAGTGGATTGTCCCGCTCTGCTCTGCACTGGTGTGACCTCACCTTGAATATTGTGTGCAGTTTTGGGTGCCACAACACAAGAAAGATATTAAGTTCTTAGAAAGTGTCCAAAGGAGGGCAACAAAGATGGTGAAGAGCCTTGAGGGGAAGCAGCTGAGGTCACTTGGTCTGTTCATCCTGGAGGAGACTGAGGGGAGACCTCACTGCAGTCTACAACTTCTTTATGAGGGGAATAGGAAGGACAAGTAATGATCTCTTCTCTGTGGTGACCGGTGACAGGACCCAAGGCAATGTCCTGAAGCTGTGTCAGGGGAGGTTTAGGTTGGATATTAGAAAATGGTTCTTCACCCAGAGGATAGTTGGGCACTGGAACAGGTTCCCCGTGGAAGTGGTCATGGCACCAAGCCTGACAGAGTTCAGGAAGTGTTTGGACAATGTTCTCAGACACAGGGTGTGATTTTTGGAGTTGTCCTGTGCAGAGAAGTGAGTTGGATTCAACGATCCCTGTGGATCCCTTCCAATTCAGGATATTTTCTAAACCTCTGGGAGCAAAACCAATTACCTCTGTCATTTTGCTGATACAGAAGTTCTAGTTTCCAGTAATTACTAGATCAAACTTAAATTTTATTTAAAGCCCTTCTGATGAAAGCGTTTCTACTTCCAGACAGGCATCACAAAACCAAGCTCAGTACTAAGTGTAACATACAGGTCTTTACTTCAAAATACAGAAACAAAAACACAGCAGTACTTTATATACTCAGGCAATTTTTTATTATCTTTCCTACACACCCTCTTTAACACAGCATTCTTTTCTGATAGTTTTTTTCATCAGTGCTTTAAAAAGCAAAGGCTCTTTACTATGTTGTAATCAAGCATTATTTAATAGAAGTCACTCTTGGTTGGATCCTTTGGCTGAAGTGCAGACCTGAGCTTGACAGCAATGCTTTTCAAGCAAAGCCCAAGATAAGGGCTGCAGTGCTGATGCAGCTAACTCAAGCCTGGCAGGCCATGGTCTTTGTCCTCAGAAACTTTCCTTAAAGATGGGGTTTAAAGGGTATTATAATTAGAAGGAGCTTTTTTAATTTTTTTTTTAATTGTCAACATCAGAGCTCAAGTTTCAGACAAATAACATGTAGTGACAGGCACGTAACTCTTCTTTGAGTCACACTTTATACTTCCTGCTAGATTACTTTCACAAAAACAACTTTTCCCCCACTCCCTTTGCGCAGCAGCGAAATTGAGGCTGCACACACTAATGAAAAAGGTTTCCTACAGCTGTAAAAAGTCCACAAGATCTCAAAAGAAAAACAATCATCTTACTTCTACCATGCCTTTAGCTGCCTGCTGTCCTTGTTACCGCTACATCTGGTGACCAAGATCAATTTTTTTACTATCACTTCAGCAGTTAGATTATCTGTTCCTTGTCTTCCAAACTCAGGCCTTCTAAGAAGGTCTCAGCTTTCTTTCTTCAGCCGTGCCTCACCCTACAGAAAGTGTGTGGCAGCTGCATTTTATCTGACTGTTGCCCGAACTGGTCCAAGGTGACGATTTCCTCGGGTTGCCATGGCACTGGGGCAGTTTCCGAGGGTCCCACGGGGCTGGATTTCCCTCCGGGACATGTTTTCTGCCAACACTTGGGAATCAATCCCGGCGCAGGGCTGTGTTTGCAGGGCACCGACTCCGCTCCGCCCGATGCGCGCCCTGTGTGCATGGACGTCCCGGGCGGACCCAGGGCGCTTCCCGCGGGCGGACCCGTCGCCAGCCCCGCTCCATGACCAGCAGCTCCCGCCCGCGGGCCCTGCAGAGCCCAGTGCCAGCCGCTCCCGCCCAGCCCCTCGGTTCGGCCCGGCCCCGCCCCGGGCGTCCATCCCGCCGACTCCGGGCGGCCGCAGGAGCGGGAGGAGGCGGGTTAAAAGCGACGGCAGATGAACGGGGAGGGACCTTAAAGCTGCGGGACGCGGGAGCGGAGCGGAGCAACGCGCCCGTCGCGTCCCGCGTGTCCTGCCGAGCCGTGCCAGGTGAGCGTCCGGAGCGGCTCCCGCGTGCCGCACCGGTGGGATCGGGATTAGGCTGTGCGCCCCCCAGAGTGGGTCGGGATCCGTGTGGTGTGCCAGACAGGGGGGAGTCCCGGCGGGACTGGGCTGGGGGCGGCCGCCGGCGGCGGAGAGGGCACTGCGGGGCTGGGGCAGCTACGCCGCTGCCCCGATTCCCCGCTGGCCCGGAGCTGCCAGGGATGCAGCCGTGCCTGGGAGCGAGCTGTGAGCCCCCAGCCACGGAACCCGCCCGGGCTGCGGGGATGCGGGTCGGGGACGGTGACTGCAGCCGGCGCTCCGAGGGGAGCCGTCGGACTTGAGAGCCGAAGGCGGTGTTTGCCAGCGGTGCCCGCTGACAGGAGCCGATGGCAGTCGCGCCGCTTCCCGCCGCTGAGGGCTCGCTGCAGGCTCCGTGTCCGCTCCGGCCGCGCGGGAACGTGGCGGGACGAAGGTCGGAGGGAGGGAGAGACGGGGTGGGATCCAGCTGGTAACCCCAGAGTGGGAATTTGGAGTGGTCTTCACAACCACTTGGTTTTGGCGAGTTGGGTGTCCCACTAGATTCACTCACTCCCCACAGCCAGTTTCGGTGTTTCTGTAGGGGCATATGCGTAGGAGAAATTGGTTTTTCCCCCCAAAACTTGCAGCACTGGTTCAGGACTGCAGTGGGAGATGGCACTTGGAGCCCGGGCTATTCATTTCTCAGTGATATGCACTTTAAATACTTTCCCTCAATCCTGGTTAGCTCCTTGTGAAGGTTTCACTGACTTTATTTTAATGACTATGCAACAGGCACGAGGAAATTCTTAACAGAAAGATGCAGGTGTTTGATCATAGCCTGCAGTTTAGGTCAATGTAAAAAGTTGCGTAATATGGTGCCAGTTTCGGCAGAGACAAAGCATGAGAAGTCTCAGGAATTCCAGCCATCTTCTCGAAGTTGGTTTGGGGTTTTTTGTTGTTGTTGTGGGTTGTGGGGTGGTTTTTTTTTTTTGTTTTGTTTTGTTTGTTTGTTTTTTGTTTTTTTTTTGGTCTTACTCAATTTTACCTTTCTGCATCACAGTAAATCTAACCTCTCCCTCTTGCCTCAAGGCTTGTCCATACAAGCTAGGCCCTCGTACCAAGGGTATGTGTTGGGGCATGTTAGTCCTTTGGTTGTGTTGTAACTGCACCAAGGTAAAAAGTTCTTTTTTTTCCTCTCTGTGTTGTTTGAGAGACTTTTATAAACTTTGGCCAGTGTTACGTTTCAAGGTACCACATTCTCCCCACAACACACAGCCAGCACCAAGAAGAGACGGAGCTCTTATCCATGGTTGGTGTGGCTCTCCCACACAGCACAGTTGAACCCAGCCTTGAGAGATGATGGACCAACTATGCAGGTTCTCAGCTCGAGTTTCAAAGTGTTTTGTCCAATTCACTGATAGTTTCCAAGTGGCTGCAATCAGTGAAAGCTGAGCCCTGAGACTGAATTCTGACTTCAGCAAAACTTACTTTCAAAGGAGCAGAGAGTGTGGATTTTAGTTTTTCAGAGTAGGAGGAAAGCTGAAATGGATCTTCTCTGAGGTTTGACCTCCTGTATTCTGCTGGGGTGTGATAGCATCTAGAAAATCAACACAAACTCTTTAGCTGAGGGCTTTTTCCTTGCAACTCTCACTCTGCTTTTCTCCTTTTTGGATGAGATAGCAATGAATGTGGAAGGGCAGGCTGTTCTCTATCTCTTTGCCTCCTGGTTTGTGCTATATAGGCACGCATTCCTGACAGAGCTGACTTGAGGCTTCTCACCAGTGTTGGCAAAATCAAATGCTGTAATTTTGAGATTAAGGATGATGTCTGGAGGAGGCCTGCTGGAGGTATCTGGGTTGAGTGAGGACTTCTGCTGAAGGTGGTCAAGTAGTAACCTCAGAAACAAAGAAAACACCAGCTCAGCCTTCTAGGGATGTGGTGTTGGCAAAGAAATCCTGTAAAAAATACTAAAGAAGTCTCTACTTTGTCTAAATATGGGTCAACTCATGCAGTGATAGTAATTTCTATTGTTTTGGGAAATACAGTGAAAGGCAAAACACTGACAAGAGTCAACCACAGAAAGGGAAATATCTCAAGAAAGAGAAGGAGGGCATAGAGGATGCACAGAGGAAGTGTATTAAGATGTAACTTATTTCCTGCCCAAAGCCTCCTTGAGAAATACATCAAGGTATCCTTGTCCCATTATAAATTCATGGAAGGAGAGTTAAATAATCTGTTTGAATCCATAAACATGTAGACATTAATGAAAGTGACTTTACACTTGTCTATTGCTCTGGAGAGACTACTAGGAAGTCCTCTTTTTCACAGGAGGTCTAGAACTGATTTTTCACGCTTTGAAAAGTGATCATTCTCTGTATTGTGTAATACTGTGCTCTGTACTCTGCAGGTAAAAGGACACAGAAAAGAAGATGGACTGGGGAACTCTGCAGACTGTTTTAGGAGGTGTAAACAAACACTCCACCAGTATCGGGAAGATATGGCTCACAGTCCTGTTCATCTTCCGTATCATGATCCTGGTTGTAGCTGCAGAGAGAGTCTGGGGAGACGAACAACAAGATTTTGTCTGCAACACACTTCAGCCTGGCTGCAAAAATGTGTGCTATGACCACTTTTTCCCCATCTCTCACATCAGACTCTGGGCCATGCAGCTGATCTTTGTCTCCACACCTGCGCTGCTGGTGGCCATGCACGTGGCCTACAGGAGGCACGAGAAGAAACGGCGATTCAGAAATGGTGAGAAAATTGATATTGAAGAGTTAAAAAATGAAAAGATTCACATCCGGGGTCCCTTGTGGTGGACATACACCAGCAGCGTCTTCTGCAGGATCGTCTTTGAAGCTGTCTTCATGTATGTGTTCTATTACATGTACGATGGGTACCAGATGCCCCGCCTGGTGAAGTGTGATGCTTGGCCCTGCCCCAACGTAGTGGATTGTTTTGTGTCTCGGCCCACCGAGAAAACCACATTTACTATTTTCATGCTTGCTGTGTCTGGGATCTGCATGATGTTGAATCTGGCTGAGTTGTGTTACCTAGTGATAAAAGTTTGCATGAAAGAACCCAGAAAAACAACAGTTTTGAAATAACTCCCCAGTTGCAGGATCTCCTAGCTCCCCATTTCCCTTAAACTTTCTTAGGTGTCAGAAAACAATAAGCAATATTTTCCACAGTCAAGGAAAAGCATAAAAATGAATGTTCATTTGTGTTTAAAAAATTGTAGCCTCCCTGGGAAGCTGACACTGATGAGGTTTTAAATATCATGAGCTAATTCAGTATTCCTGCATTCAGAAATAGGGAGGAGCCTTCTGGCAGCAGCCTTTTTAATTATGCCTGCTGCTGGCTCTCTTGTTGGGTCAGAGTCACTTTTCAAAAAGTGGGAGTAGGAGGACCAGAGAAGAATCTAGTGCCCAAAGGAGAGCCAGGAATCACAAAACCAAAACGTCAGCTCAGAGGGAAGCCAATAACAAAGGGTTTCAGCTAAAAGTGGGGTAAAAGGTTTTTGTGGGACATTGCAGCTACAGTGAAAAGGAAGAAGACAAGGGATGATTATGTTTATAGTAGGTGTCCTCTCTAAGTAATCTGGAGAGCAAGGAAATGGCCTAGGAACACAGGTACTCCATGGCATTGCATGGTATCAGCTCTGCTGGGCACCAGCAATGGCTTTTATCTTTTTATCTTTTCATCTTCTTGCCTGCACTGAGAAGCATCTCCTACAGGGTTGGAGTTGCCCAGTCTCAACTGCTTGTGAATATTATTGGACTAGTGCTGCCTCCCCATAGTCACAGATGCTGCAGCAGTGGGAGGAACAAAGTTCATTTTTCATTCCCTAGATCAGGTGAAAAAAAGGACTGTCACCTCTGAGAAGGTGGAGGCAGTGCAACTGTGTCCCTCTCTTGTTCTCCCCTAATACTTGGTGAAGTACCTCAGTACAGTAGACTGTACTTGATGAAGAGACTTTTTACCACCTGACTGTGCCTCACTTAGCTGTGTACCTTTCATAAGGGTTTTTTTTCAGTAAAAAATGAGAAAAATTGCCTTGCTTCATTTCTATTTGTTATCCAAAAGAAGTGCTTCAACTTACAGCATGATATGGAGTGCTCTTCACATTGATCCCTTCTTCCTATCCAACCTGCACACCTTTTCTTCATAAAACCTTTTCCCTATCTGATGTACCTTTAAAATTAGTCAAGCAAACCACTCCAAATATCTCTGACATTCCACATTGTGAGATTAAATCACCATTCCTTTTCTTACAGTTGGTCTAGCATAAATTACAGACACCTTGTAGAGCGAAAATAGCAAAGTGACCCAATCAGAAATGAGGAGGAATTTGATATTTTTCTTAAAGTTCACATTGCTGGGCTGTAAACTGTGTATTACTAACTTGAAGAACTATAGGAGTCAGTCTGGCCTTGTCTCAAAACATGTTTTATGTCTGTCATAGGCAGGTACAACAGCACATAAGGCAACACAGTTTTATCTCCCAAGTGCCTATTGAACCCACTTCTAAGAAAGTTGGCTATCTCTCCTCCTGAGCTTTAATTACTGGCTTTTCCCCAAAATGAATAATCGCTATCTCACCTTCTCTGTTTGCATTCATGTTTTACTGAATGTTTACTGTTGGAGTAAACAAAGCTGCATGAATTAAGGCCCATGGCCCCTCACTGCACTGGAAGTGGAGCACAAACAGGCTTCCATTGCTTGTGAGCTACATCCAGTGTTGCAACTTGACTGCAGTTGGAAATCTGTCATCTAAAAGGGGAGCAAGGAAACCATGAAAACACCATCCTCAGAAGCATGAACAAAAAGATAGAAAGTCATTCATAATCAGCTGGACTGGAAACTTCGACAGTGAAAACATCTTTAATTCAACTCCAAAGAACAAAGCTTGGCACATATCAGGTTTGTGCTTGACAGAGTTCCTGCATTGTTCCATACAGAATTACGAAGAGAACAAACTATCTAGTCCCAGTGCTCTAGTATTACATTTCTTTTGTAATAAGATTTTTATTTCTTTCTGAAATTATAATTAAAGCATGTATGTGTGCGTGTTTTCTGTATTACTTGTACATGCTGTGTATTACCTGCTATGTCTAATGAAAATCTGTTTTACTACAATAGAAAATGTATGCACCAATACTATATTTAATAGCCAAGGGCTAGGGAAAGGATTTTAGCCTTCTGCTGCAGGTTGGTTTTTCAGTTGGTTACATTGCTTGTAATCCTGAAGTTTCGTGAGCTCATAGTGGAAGGTCACATATGTGCTTTACATGAAATAAAATATGCTGTGTAAGACGGCCCTGTGCTAGCAGAATTGTGGCTGGAAAAGGCCAGTGATAAATTACTTGACCAGTTCTATAGAGGAGAGAGTTCGTTTTCCCAGCCTGCCTTTGAATTTAGCTGGAACTTGAAATGAGACACACCAAAACCATTAACACTAACATGATGAAGTTATCTGCAACTAGCAACCAGATTATCACACAGGGTAAAAAGATAGAATTGGGAAAGTGTCTGGAAGAAGCCAGAAGAGGACTTTGAACCAGGACTGCAGCATCGGGCAATAATAGCTCTACCAGGACGTATTTACTGTTTCTCAGATTTATTTTCTGTGTATATTTAATTTGACTGAATAGCTGCTTTGTATGGGGAAAAAATTCAGATACTTTATAGGAACATGGGAATTGTACCTATTTCTGCATGTGCTACATTGCATAGCTACCTTCTACAAATGGATTTCTTATAGATTAAAATACAACTCTGTGTTAAAATTGTGTTTGTTCTCTCTGGAAATGCACTAGTAGTGTCTACATTTTTGGTACTTGGTTCCTGGGCTTTCCTCAGAATGAAGATTTCAAGAGTGTTAAAACTGAAGCAGCAAATCTGAGGTCATCACTGTTTCCTCATGAGGCTGATTCCTCACTGTTCAGTGTCCAGTAAAGCCAGGATATAAAATGTCATTAATAATGTGGCATCAGTAGTGGGAAGTGTAGGAGTGGGACTGGCTGGAATTATGCCTTGGACTGAAATCACCAGAAAAAAACCACCATTGAATTAATCAGGTTAAACATTCATTCAAAACCTTGAAACCAGAACTACAAACATTTGTTAGAAGGGGAAGGAAACTTCACTATTAAGTCATAGATGCATCTAGAGAAAAAACCCTAACTACCTTGGGAGAAAGATGGATTTGAAAGGAAGTCAGAAGTATAAATCTGTATTTATGACTTCTGGATATAGAAGTACTTTTATTAAAAGTTTTCTTAGACAAAGATAAAAAAATCCTTCAGTTGTTTACAGTTATCATGAGCCAATGCACTGTGTTGTTTTGTAATCTAACAGGAAGAATATAAAAGACAAGTCCCTACAGAGAAGAGCACTCCTGTATCATGGAGGTTCAATTCAAAATAGCAACTCTGTTACAAGCTGGGTTTTTTTGTGAAAAGTGTACTGCAGCAGTAAGCAATAGCTAAGAGCATTTTACTACAAACTAGGTGAAAATGAATCTGTTTTTTCCCCCTAATTATTTAATTCCCTCCCCTGCAAATTAGGCTAATGGGTTTTACTAGGCATGAAAATCACACACAAAAGAATTGCATTATATTTTTGGTCACCTGTTCTGATATTCAGGACAGTCACTACCCTGACCGTTAATTACAGTTTTATTTGGATTTTCACAATCTTATTACCTACACAGTCATTTGAACCTATTTGTAGACAGTGGCAAAAGTAATGGTAACTACTTGAAGCTTAATGAGCTAAGACTAATGGTAATGATGTTCAATATAGTTCAGAAGGTACCTATACTTTTTCCCTATCTGACCAACCCAGCTTTTACAGAATATATTTCTCTTCTGTAAAGCTGGCTCAGCTCTGACCTGTGTATTTTCTATATAAACTTTTCATATAAACTTTCCTAGCCACCAAAAGAAAGTCCTAATAAGCTAGGTTTGGAAATGCATTAAGCTTTAATCAGCAGGCTCAACTGAAGAAACAAGCCACATCTCAGACTCTCCACCTTTGAGAACACAGCTTGCTTTTGCTATAGTTGGTTCCCCAGTAGTACTATGGAACTCAATGTCAGAGTTGGTCACAACATTGCATGTACCTTCTCCCTTTTTCTGCCAGTGTAATCACTGCCACGAACTCGAAGTATTGTTTCACATCTGCCTGCTCTATTCCCAAATCCAATTTAAAGATAAAGGTGACAACTGTGCCATGTTCACAGGAAGTAGAACAATTTAATCAAGCACTGTTTGTTAAGATTGTTGCAACAGGTGCCAGAAAAAATATTTTATAATTATTATGTGGTAAAATTTCAAACCTATTGTATGTTGCATAATTAGTGTAATGTCTGCTTACAGTTTGTCATGTCCCTGCCCTAGGTATTGCATCCCTTCCGAGGGCTGAGACCTTAATATACAGTTTAAATAGCTTCCACAATATGTCCAGCACAAATAAAAACAGTTCATACACACATATGTGCGCACAGACACAGAGCAACAAACTGACTAAATCATTCCCTCTCTGTTATCTGGTAGCAAATGGAATGAGGCATTGCAACATGGATTTGTCAGGCATAATTTCCGCCTGTGCCATGATAAAAGCCTTTGTGTATAGCAGTAAAATAGATATTAATGACTCATTGTCAGAGCATCAGGATCCACTAAGTGGGACAAACTTTATGCAGCTGGGAGGAGCTGCAGGTAGATGGGAAGATAAGCTTAGGATTCAATAAGATCCTTATCACGGAGAGAAATGGCTTAACAATAGCATTTTTAGAAGTTAGGAAAGTCTAAATGCTACTATTGTGAAACACCAAGCACTTGCAAAACTGTCTGAAGGGAAAAACAGTTTTGTAAAGATGAGCTGGAGTTTGTAGTTGAACATCAGTGGAACATGAGACAGTAACATTGTTGACTAGAAAAAATATCATACTGGTATGCATTAAAGGTTTATAAAAAATTGTGTTTGAATCAAAGTTTTCACTCCTGTTAGTACCCGAAAATCTTTATCTAGAGCCTACTTTGGGGCACCATCTTTCCCAAAAGCCTATTTAGCAGCTGGAGAAATTTAGGGGTCAGGAATAATATGCCATCAAATGTCTGAAACACAGAACTCACGAGGAAAGACTGAAAGAAATTAATTGGCCAGGAAAAATCCGAGGAAAGACCCAGCATCATTCTTCAAATATGTAGAAGATTGTGGCAAAGAAGATGGACGATGTTGCACTTTACATTCACTCACAGCAAGACAATAAATAATAGGCTTATGTTGCAACAGGTTGTAAGTTAGTGACTGCAAAATCTCTCTGTGAAGAAGGTTGGTTTGACAGACTTCGTCACTGAAGATTGTTAAATGGCAACTCCAGCATTTGTTGAGGATAGTCTGGGTATAGGACTATGCCCTAGGACAGGGGGAACTTCTAAAATGTGTGAGGAAGAGGATCTCAACTGAAAGAGTCAGTTATACAAGTTCCTTTTGCTGAGACAAAGCTCAGCTGTTGAATCAAAATTCAAGTCTGTTTGCCAGTGCAGGGTCTATCTGGCGTGATCTCTGGCAGCATGGTTCTTTTGTGCTTTTAGCAATTGTAATAAAACATTCTTCTGCTGTAATATGTTCCACCTAACAAAGCATATGAGGTGTCATTGTGAGTAAATGAAATTGCAGTTAATATAAATGAAGTTGGTGATGGAA